GGTTTTTTTGTTTTTTTTGTTTTTTTTTGTTTTTTTGTTTTTTTTTATTTTTATGCCACCAGCTCTAATTTATAATGCCTGCTCTAATTTTATTCAGTCAATTGACTTTCAGTGCAAGGGAGTGAAAATTCTTGGAGTATTCACTGAATTTCATTAAGACCAGGGATCAACATGGTTAGCTGTGATTTGAATCAATTTGATACTCATTCTATGTACACAATCCTCCTTATATATAATTTTAAAATGTACTTAGCTTAAGTGGCAACTTGACTCGCTTATTAATCTTAAGTGCCAAAATATTATATTTTGTAATATGGATTTGGATTGTCATATATACACATCATTAATATATTCAAACTATTTCATATAAATCTATTTACTATCTTCTTTTGTAATGTGCATATTATATTACTTTTCAAATTTTGTGCTTTGACCGTATTATTCTCTTACAATTTTTAAATAAAAAATATTACAGCTAAAACTAATTATGTATATAAATTAATTTTCAGAATTTAAAATAAAATTATTAATTCACTTAGTTCTTTATTATAAATTGTTATATATTGTTCTTTATTTTTTTTTCAACTACAATAAAATATATAAATATTTATTTTCGTTTATTTTTTGGTGTACATTTAATTATTTTATCAAACACATGTATAGTACACGAGTATTGTACTAGTTATTATACAATGCAGTCTAACCATTCATATTATATATATATATATATTTAATTATGTACTATTTTAAAGAATGAGTTATTTTATAAAAATTTGTACGAACTAAAATATTCTTATATTTAACATATTTTTTATGTCAAAATTGTAACAATAGTTAACTTATCCAATGTGCAGGACTCTTACTAAAGAAAGACTCCAATAAATAAACAAATTTTTGGAGTCCTAAAACTTCTATATGGTCTTAGATTTATTTATTTATTTATTATTATTTTTTTTATCTATGTTATAGACTTGGAATTTAGTAACATTCAGATGTAACTACGTACATTCTTCCATTGCCTGCTTGTGATAGTGATGATGTTTATGTTTTGTCATAATCACACATTTCTGTATTATTTTTTTAGAAAATATAAATACACTACTATATAAACATTGCAGTGAATAATTACAATACGTATTCCAAATCAATGGATTTTGATTAACGAAGTCATGTATTTACATTAATTATACAACTTTAATAAATAAATATATTGTCAAAAAAAAGTCAAGTCAAGTTCTGATATGTATACAATTGATAATGAATTATATTTTAAGTTGTTGTTTAACATGATACCAATCCATTAGTAAAATGTGAACTTTTAAATCAAGAAAACAAATAATTTTACAATCATGTTATATATCATATTACATGATAAATAGATAAAACTAAATCGATACTTACATTTCAAGAAAAGCATTCATATCAATTACCATAATTAACAATAGGCAAAATTTCAAAATGAGTCCTATAAGTTGACCATTGTCCAAAAATCTACTCCTATATTGACCACTTTCAAACTGGGTCCAATAATTTGACAATTTAATCAAATTTGGTCTTTTTTTTATCCCACCCTGGATAAAAACGTGACGTGGCGCCCAATCAGTCTGACATGGCGTGATTATAGTTTATGTGACGGGATTAAATTTTGACATGGCGTGTATTTCATCTTATTTGGAATTCATTAAAATTTTAGAACTGCAAATTAGTCCATATAATTTATCAAATTTTAAAAAACAACCCCCTGCAATCTCAAATTTTTAAAACTGAGCCTCAACCATCCGCCGGCGTCGTTCGCGGGACGCCGTTCATCGGCCGTCTCCGATCGATATTTTTTTTACATCATCTTGAAGCTCACATCATTCTCGTTCACCTCCTAAAGTTTCCGGCAAAAAATTCCACCAATAAGGCTGTCAATTTTTCGATCAAAATTTCTAGATCTAAATTTTTTTTGTCAAAATCCGGCTTTCTTCTTCAATATTCCGGCGATTCATATTGACCCATCGAAATTCGTGGACAAATCCGAACTCCCAAACAACGTCTACCATCTCTGAAATAGAAAATTTTTTCCGGCAATCCATTTTCCGGCATGTAGTAAAGCTTGGACCTTTCTCAATACGCACACAACATCAACAGAACCAAGAATTACGCTCAACAAGTCTCCAATTCAATAATAAAAATTAGCTGACAAAATCCCCCTCCAAATTAAAAATCACAAGCGTCTACCTTATAAAACAAAAGAGTCATTTAGCTCCACCAATCCAACAGAGGATATAAAACCTTATTTCAGGTGTATCTCCATAAAGCCATTCTGATGGTACTTCAGAAAACAAAAGACGTACAAGAGTAGAAATGTGTTTAAAAAAAAATAAATAAATAAAAAACCCCTCCTATAAACAAGTGAGGGACGTCGAGTTCGGAGTTACATCGAGATTCAACTGAGAAGGTTACCTCTTTGTTTTTTTTTTTTTGTTTTTTTTTTGTTTTTTTGTGTATTATTATTAGTAAATTTTTGTATAATGTGTATTAGTNCTATATGATATTTTCACTTGGCAGTGAGGATGTCCTACATCAGGTTGAAAAATAGTAAATGGATCTGACTGGGTGACACGTGGGCGCCACGTCACGTTTTTATCCAGGGTGGGATAAAAAAGGACCAAATTTGAGTAATGGTCAAATTATAGGACTCAGTTTGAAAGTGGTCAATGTAGGGATGTGTTTTAAGACAGCGGCCAACTTATAGGACTAATTAGTTGATGACTTATAATCAATTTAGATTTTTAGTTGAATCATATTATTAGAGATCGGTTCATAGTATAAATTTTCAGTGGAGTCATACAATTAGAGATCGGTTCATGGTGATATTGTGACTAATTAACCTGATGATATAAAGGTAAATAAAATATTTATCTTCAGAATATATCGAATATAAAGTTAAAAATATATAATATTTTGTTTGTAATTTTGAACTACGATGGTTAATTAAAATAAGTTAATTTAAAATATGTTGTTGNAAAAAAAAAAAAAAAAATATATGTTGTTGGAAAAAGAAAAAATATTTCTTTATCATTATATAAACTAATGATGTTAAGATAGTTGCTTTCATTTCCATTACGGCATTACCTAATGCGTGTGTTTGTGCAGTTATGGTAGAGGTGGTGTAAGCTAAACATACTCCTACGAAAACAAACCTTTTTATATGAATGTGTACTTTTATTATGTTACGAGATGTCATAATTAAAAAAATAGCTTAAATGTGTACTTAATTTTATTATGTTACGAGATGTCATAATTAAAAAAATGGCTTAAAAATACAAGTATAACATTCAACAACATGCGTATAAAATTTTGCTTAAACAGTATGACGAATCGATTTGACATCGTTAGATTGTTTCCTTGTGATAAATTCTTAAATGCAAAAAATAATAATATTTTGAGCATCAAATGTTCTTTTAAACTCAGAGCAATCATTAGATACACATAATATGAAACTTTTTAATTTAAATTTTTATATTTCTTAAATAAAAATTTAAACATAATATACCAAAATAATTNGAATTTCAATATATATTTATAATTCATACAAATAACTAGCTATATTTAGAGCGTGAAAATAATATCACTATAATTAGGAAGCTAATATGGATAACGTTAGAAGATTTGAGTAGCAAATATTATATGTTGTTAATTAAGATAATAAGAAAAATAAGGATATTCTCAATGTAATAATTGGACAACATTTTGCTACAAATACTTCATAATGATGCATAAAAAATAAATATAGTATTTGAATATAAAAAAGGTAAAATTCTACCGTAACATGAACTTTAGTATATCTTTATAGTTCATGCAAATAACTATAGCTATATTTAGAGCAAGTGAAAAGAAAATGTATGTGACATTATATCAGTATAATTGCGAATATAATATGGGAAACTTCAAAAGATTTGGGTTGCAATAGGGTAGTTGAGCCGAGTTCACGAGCTACTCGTTTCGTTTAACAACTCTAGATAAAAATATAAATTGAATTATAATTTTCATATGCCATTAATAAAATATTTGAAAAGAAAGATCTTCCTAATATAATAATTGGGCAAAATTGTCAACTGCCATCGAGGAACCTAATACATTTTGCAATGTAGTCTATAATAAAAAGATTTCAAGCAAACAAGATTATCTTAGACAATGAATGTTTCTACATCAACTGTTTCTATATAAATTTTTTTTATCAACACTTTTAATTGTTATCATTATTTAAAAATTATATTTCAAAATGTTTCTACATCAACTGTTTCTATATACTTTTTTTTATCAACACTTTTAATTGTTATCATTATGTTTTACTCAATTTATTTTGTAATGTACACTTTTTGTATGATTAATAAGATATACTAATGTAACAAAATGAACACATCATATAAAGATACAAAATATATATATATATATTTACAATTATAAAAATATATGAATCATGTATCACGTGCATCACATGTGCACTTTACCAGTGTTATAAAATCTACTTTTCTTTATATTGTATTTGATAAGATGTAATTTGAATTTAAAAGTGAATATTATTAAAAATGTGACTGCATAACCGTTAGTCCAGCCTAGCAACACGCTTGCCAATTCACTAATTATGTGTAAGAACAGGACTTCAAATACCCCCAGAGTGCAACTTTTGTTCACTATTTACTATAATTGAAAATGTTATCTATCGTATGCATCATTTGTTTCCTTGAAATACCTAAATTTGAAACATTGTGTCAAAAGGCTAGGATAAGAAATAATTGAACTCGACCTAAAAAAAAAAAAATAGTATTAATTGAACTCCACACTCTAAAAACTTAAAGAACGGTAATAGCACTCCAAGTATAAAGCAGAGGAAAAATGGTCATGACTTGAGTCATTTTTATATCTTTAATTCAGCAACAGCGTTCAGAGTAGAAAGTCCAAGGCACTTTGCCACTGAACGATAATGTTAGAAAAACCGAAATAACAATATAGCATTGGAAATAATTGCACAAAACTTCATCTAAGGTTATCATGAGAATTAAAGGATTTTTATATAAACAAAAACTTGGCGAGGAGATTTGGATTTGAACTGTTTTCTTTTAGTTAGTATAACACCTTTAAGCTCGACATCAACGAATCATGCTACAAACTACACTGACATAAGGAATGACATAAAGTTTGACATAATAACCCGTTTCACAATCCTATTATTCTGCACATCAATTTACTTTAAAAATTAACAACTACTAAACATACACAACTTTTTATCATCCACTGTGTCAAAATAACTATATGTCAAAGTAGCTTTATTCCTACACCGACTGCTAACCTTTGACGAACGGCTTGTTTAATGAGATAAACTTACAAAATCACCAACACAGTTCTTGTATCGTTTAAGCAAATCTCTTATTTACTGACTTTACCACCACCGAATGGCAATGCGAATGCTGTTGACACACTAACAAAGAAGAAGGAATCTGGAAAGACCTTGCGCGACATACTTTGCCACCTGTTTGTCTGGTCTTTCCGAATGAAGTTTCATTTTTTTTTTTGGCTGTGCATAAATTACCTTAAAAGTGTATAATATTTTAGATGAAGTCTGGTTGGCCAGTTGACGTTAAGCAACGATGCCACATGCGGCTGTTGGGGTCGACAACCTTTTGCTGCCTAATGACTTCAGTTATCGGAAAATACACATAGTGAGTATTGCATATTCCAACCGTTATCCCACTATACCCAGCAAATGCACCGTGAACCTGACAATGCAGATTTTTCGTATATAACAAGTATATTGATTACCTAAGCAACTTACATTAACTAATTAATGTTAAAATTCCATTTAGCTTGTAAGATCTTACAGCATTTTGACCAAGAACAGTGCAAAGAATGCCGTCTGATGCATTTGCACGGCATGCGCGGATCATGTAGGTGGGATCAATGTATTTCACATCAGCTGGGAATCCAATCCCTTTGAAAAACTTCTTTGTCTGTAGATGAGTATATAATTGGTGTTAATGGCAGGTGTTACTGACCCACATTAGAAAGTTGAGCTCCAAATAACCAAACAAAGAGATGTTCAAAATTGGAATAGAGATAGCAATGAATAATTCGTTATTACTGATAGGGAGAGAGTATAATAAGTAGAACTGGGGTGAAGGAATCAACCTGTTGTTGTATATAGACACCAATGTCTCCTAATACGACGTTTCCTGATGCATCTGTAGCATTCGTTTTCTCAAGAAGATCCTGCACACAAAATGCGGGGCAAAAATCGTGGTAAGCACTAAGGCTCAAGAATTTTATTTTATTTATTTATTTTTTTTCACCAAGTCAAAATTTACAAGCACAAGTACAAGAGTACATCAAGAGACTCCTGTCTGAGTGGTGTTCATCAGCCAGTCAGTCTTGTTCTCCNTGCTTCTGTGCAATTATTATCAATCCATAGCTGAATATATTCAACTCCTGAAAGGTAAAACATGTTGTCACAAACCTGCCCAGCCCCCTCTGCCACACATACGACAGCAGATCCCTTTCTATCGAGAAGGTACTTTAGGTGACTTAAAACACCATGAGGTCCATGCAGATTAAATGGTACCTGGTGGATTAAAAAGAACACACTGTTGACAAAGGGTTCAAAATATACACATTTAGAGGTTGGTGCATTAAGAAGGAAAAAAAGGCAGTACCTCTGGAATCAAGCATATATCAATTTGTCCACTAGCAAGAGATGCCTGCATGGCTATAAACCCACTACTACGGCCCATCAACTTCACGATCCCGATTCCATGATAAGCACTGTGTGCCTGTTGTATTATTTCACAGAAAAGAAAATAAGGTTGTTCTAGAGAATGAATTCAAATCCTGATTGATGATGTAATTTTGAGTCCGGACCTCGATGTATGCAGAATTAATTGCTCTCTGGGACTCCTCGACAGCTGTATCAAAGCCAAATGTTTTATCCATAAGCAAGATATCATTGTCAATGGTTTTTGGAACACCAACTACAGCTATCTTCAGTCGTCTTTTGCGGCACTGGATGTTGAATAGCAGAAAACGTAAATATTTTCAAAATTTTGAGGTACAATGCTATCACAGACAGACACACACATGAGATAAATCGGAGACAAATGACAAAACCAACTCAGACAAAGACCTGTATGCCAGTTTTAGTTTCTTTGTCCAATGATAAATTGTCTAGTTTAGTCATAAAAGTTGCACAACATGAAAATCCCAAGGGAATGTTGCAGTAAGTTGGAGAAAAGTAGTATAAATACTTTGAACAAAAGAATGTCGGATTTTTTCCATTTCTTGTAATTGTATTAGAATGACACAAGAAAAATGCACATGATGTCTAGCAAAATTGAAGTATAATAGTAGTTATCCAAAAACCTCTTCATGTATGGCATTGGCACCAGCATGTGTACCATTTCCACCCAGGACGAAGAGCATATTTATCCCTCTTTCCTGTACCAAAATTTTCTTGGTTTAGCATCAAACAACCCTAGCTTCTAAGTTATAACACACTTAAGATATTGAAGCCCATAAATGAGGAACACACCTCCAAACTGTCAACAATGTCGCTAACTGAGGGTCCCCCGCGTGAGACTCCCAGCAAGCTTCCTCCAGATAGATGGACGTTTTGAACCACTTTCCTTGACAGCTATAAAATGACATAAAAAATGCAAATAGAGTTTGATTATCTGAATAATTTTCAGTCAAAACAAAAAAAATTCTTGCAGGCAAAAATTGCATATATTGTCATTATAATGCTTATCCGTGACATCCTTAGCCGAAGACCAAATTCCAGGTAGATGAAAATTATTCTGGTATTAGCAA